TGTAACTATGATATGGACATATTTTCGAGTTTGGGTCCGCATGAGTACGGCCATTTCAAGGAGTTTATTAAAATTCAAAAAATTAAGCTCTTAGAACAACCAATTTGTAGGGTTATTTGGATTTCTCCTTCCATCAATTGGATTAAAATCAACTCAAATACATCATTCATTAAGACAGATGGGACTGTTTATGCTTCAGCGGGTTGTTTTCCAAGATCATTTGAGTATGATTAAAGCTATACAAGCTATACGGCTCAGAGTTGTACGCGACAAATATGAAGATGAACTAAAAGCTACTTAATGTAGCCTCCTTCTAACTTAACAATGTGTTCACGTAGATATTAACACCATTGAATAACTCATTCATTGTTAAAACTATTAAAGGCGGCGAATTACCAGTGGAATATTACGATTTCTACAAACATGAATTATTGCTTTATTTATTTTTATTTATAAGTCGTTCATATGATTTTTTTTCTTTTATATTAATGCATTTTTGTTCCTACAGGAAATTACCTCCTAAAGAGTTCAACAATTGCATGTTTGATTACATCTCTAGGGAGGGATACTAGGTTATGAATTTTTTGGCTGCGAGAGCCAAAGATTGGATGCTAGAATGAACCTCGAACACTACTACGACAATTCACCTTGCTTTTGAGAAGGTGAGACATTATATTATTATGGCAAAAATGATTTGGCCGAGACGACTTACTTTAGGCTTAAAGCGAGCATGTTTCAATAGTTTTACATTTAATAAGTCCAATATTTGTTATCCTGTTAATTTTTGCATATCGTCTTTCTAGGTGCTAGTTTCGAACAATTCAATAGTTTCACATTTAATGATTTATCGACTTCTTCGCCTATCTTCTTGATGTTTAATTTTAGTTTGTACTAATCTTAACTTTTGATTTTTTTAATTTTTGAATATATATGAACTGGTGATTAATGCAACTAATTTTGATCTGACTATGAGCATACTACAGAATGAGTAGTATTATACCGAGAACATAGGAGTCAGAAAATCTCCATGGATAGGCATTTAAACCAAAATAATCAAATATAAATATGTTTTCATCAAACAAATAAGCTACTCATGTTCGTCTATGATAACAGAAATTCATTTTAAAATACATATAAATACGATATTATACCTAACATATAATCATATCCACAGACAAAACAGAACCAGAGTCACCAAGTGACAATCATATAACAATATAGGGCATGCGATTTCAAGAGGTGGCTCGTACAGATTTTGGTCGGGTGTTCGAACAACTGAATCACCCAACCAAACCCTATTACGAACGGGGAGGGGCCTGGCTAGGGGACTTTAGGAGTTAGTGCCCATGATTTGTGTCACTCCAAGAAGACCAATTATGTTGTGGAATTAGAGGTGATTAAGCCTAAGTTAAGCCTCAAAGGCTTTGGGCCTGGTCCAGTTCCTGGCCCTGGTGGAATCATTTTTTCGGACCAAATGAGACCAATTTTGGGACAGTCCAAAGGTGGTCTTTCCTCTCATGTGCCTAAAATTACAAGCCAGATATGGGTCAAATGTTGTTGATAACCTTGGAAAAAGAGACTACTGTAACCAATTTTCGGTCGGCTGCAGTTTACAAATTTACAAAATTTCAATTTCATAGTTGGTCAATGGTTTTAAAACTAAACAACGGGTGGAAACCAAACCGACCTAAACGCTGCTATACACGTGTTTCTATTGGACTGGTTTAACAGATTGCATCCTTATCACCTCGTCTCTGCATCCCAGATTTGTTGTCTTTGTAGCATTAATTGAGTAGTTTGAAATTTACATTTATCTTTCAACATTTCAATTGTCTAAATGCTGACTTCCAAGTTCCAACGTAATTTAGATCTCATTTATCTAATTAAATGTTGTTTAGATCTCTCAAATTCCAATCTCTTCTCTCTTGTAAATGAAAACTTATCTAATAAATTATCTGTGAATTGATTACGTGTGCAAGAGATACTCAGCTATTGTTCGGTGGCTGAGGAGCTTTAAACTTTGGCCCCCTCTTGGTTTAGTGTGGCTTGGGTGTTCCTGGCAACTCTAATGCCTTGATTCTTGAAGAGGGAAAAGGGTGGGGAAGAGAAATAATTGGATTATTATCCATCTTGGCTTGATGTGGCTTATTTAGTTGGCAGGATAGGAAACATAAGACAATTTGATAGTACCGAATATTCATTGTCTTTGCCCGTTATATTGATGTACCTTATTTCTAGTATTTTGTATATTTGGGATCTGTTCGCCAATGTTACATGGATTCTTAAAAATATATCAAATATCCGTTTCGGACACTTCACACTTGGATTTGGGTTTGGGATATGCGTCTCACATTTGCAATTGAACACTTCTTGTGAGAAACTAAATTGGATTTTATATAAATTTTCATGAACGATACGACGGTGAAGTGCCACTTTCCTTCTCCTATCTCTTCATCTTTGCATGTTACTGTTCACCTCCCTCAAACGTGCCCTTTTCAGCTGCTAAACCCTAGCTTATCAAGTACAAACCATCCTCAACTTATTCCCATACCTATTAGCTACTAATTTAATCTTAAAATCCATAAATCAGTGTTATCCAGTCCCTTTAATTCCACTACTTCAGAAATGATGCAATCTGCAAGTTATAGAAATCAATTCAATTCCACCCTTTTCCTTTTCACAAACACAAATCTTTCTTTTACCTCTTACAACACCTAAGAAGCGGGTACGGATACGGGTATGCCGATACGGCAAATTTTTTAAAAAAATAGGATACGGGTACGGCTGGGATACACCAATTTTTTTTTTTTAATTTTAAATTTATAGCTAAACATCCAACATACAAATTAAATTCAATAACATAATTAAAAAGAGAAATTACAAAAAAAAAGAGGAAACATAAGGAAAAAAAAATTTGGAGTACAAAAATCTGGAAAAAAAATGAAAAAAGAAAATTTGTTTCAATTTTTTTGATAACATGTGAAATGTTGTGGGGGGCAACCTCCATATTTGTGTAATAAAAAATATTGGATGTAATTCCCCTAGTTTTTTTTTATAAGTATATCAAAGAAAAGATATTATAAACAAAAACATTTTATTACACTGCACCCGTTAGCTTAATTAAATTTTAATATAACTCAGCACAAGTTGTTCACATTGATTCAAAAACCAATCTGTTCTGGTAAAGTTTGTTTAGCATGAAAGAGTAGGAAACAACAACAAAATTAGTTTTTTCTATACAACACATATTAGCAATGGTAATTGAGTTTTTAATTTCTTGCACAAGAAAATAAATAAATAATAATAATAAAAAAATTTGTCCATGCAATGCAAGGGGTTACCTATAGTTAAAATTATAAAAAATTTCTCTATCTTTTTCCTGCAAAAATTTCATCCTAAGAAAATGTTTACAAGAAAATATATTTTCCTTTCCTTCCTTTCCTTTCACATTCAAACAAATTTTCTTTCTAATCAAACAGAGCCTAAAACAAAGAAACAGCTTAACAACCATTGCAACATAACAAACCTCTCATTCCGACAAACAGTCTAAAAAACCAACTGAATATATTAATATACGCATTCAAACGCATAAATAAATAAATAAAAACAGAGATTGAGATTCAAAACAAAGAGCATGCAAAAAAAGAACAGCATTCAAAACCCTAGAAACGGAGGGAAAAGAGGGAGTACCTGACGAGAAGAGGATTTGTCATTGGAGCGGAGGAGGAAGAATGATATGTCTTCGCTCTTCGTTTGCTGCGAAGAAACAAAAAAAAAAAAATTCTGGAAAAAAAAAATGAAAGAAGTGGAAGAATCGAAGAACAAAACCAAAATAGACAAGTTTCCAAACGAGGCCCAAAAATAAACCATAGAAAAATAATGTATCTGCAAGAGAATCTAGTTCATAGATTTATCTAACTCATCACTTTATTATACAAAATAAGAAAACTTAACAGAACAGATATTATGTAGAAGAAGTATCATAACATTCAACAAGGCTCTAATGTTGCTCCTAGGAAGCATGGGTGCGGGTGCGATACAGGGTACATCGATACGGCAAATTCTTTAAAAAATAGGGTATGGATAAGGCTGGGATACGCCATTTTTTTTTTTTAATTTTAAATTTATAGCTAAACATCCAACATACAAATTAAATTCAATAACATAATTAAAAAGAGAAATTACAAAAAAAAAGAGGAAACATAAGGAAAAAAAAATTTGGAGTACAAAAATCTGGAAAAAAAATGAAAAAAGAAAATTTGTTTCAATTTTTTTGATAACATGTGAAATGTTGTGGGGGGGAACCTCCATATTTGTGTAATAAAAAATATGGATGTAATTCCCCTAGTTTTTTTTTATAAGTATATCAAAGAAAAGATATTATAAACAAAAACGTTTTATTACACTGCACCCGTTAGCTTAATTAAATTTTAATATAACTCAGCACAAGTTGTTCACATTGATTCAAAAACCAATCTGTTCTGGTAAGTTTGTTTAGCATGAACGAGTAGGAAACAACAACAAAATTAGTTTTTCTATACAACACATATTAGCAATGGTAATTGAGTTTTTAATTTCTTGCACAAGAAAATAAATAAATAATAATAAATAAAAAAATTGTCCATGCAATGCAAGGGGTTACCTATAGTTAAAATTATAAAAAATTTCTCTATCTTTTTCCTGCAAAAATTTCATCCTAAGAAAATGTTTACAAGAAAATATATTTTCCTTTCCTTCCTTTCCTTTCCTTTCACATTCAAACAAATTTTCTTTCTAATCAAACAGAGCCTAAAACAAAGAAACAGCTTAACAACCATTGCAACACAACAAACCTCTCATTCCAACAAACAGTCTAAAAAACCAACTGAATATATTAATATACGCATTCAAACGCATAAATAAATAAATAAATAAAAACAGAGATTGAGATTCAAAACAAAGAGCATGCAAAAACAGAACAGCATTCAAAACCCTAGAAACGGAGGGAAAAGAGGGAGTACCTGACGAGAAGAGGATTTGTCATTGGAGCGGAGGAGGAAGAATGATATGTCTTCGCTCTTCGTTTGCTGCGAAGAAACAAAAAAAAAAAAATTCTGGAAAAAAAAAATGAAAGAAGTGGAAGAATCGAAGAACAAAGAGATCGAAGATGGACAGAACAAAGAAAAAAAATCTGGAAAAAAAAAATGAAAAATGATATGTCTTCGTTCTTCGTTTGCTGCGAAGAAACACAAAAAAAATCTGGAAAAAAAAAATGAAAGAAGTGGAAGAATCGAAGAACAATGAGACCGAAGATGGACAGAACAAAGAAAAAAAATCTGGACAGAACAAAGAAAAGGAAGAAGAATCGAAGAAGAAGAGGAGGAAGAATTGAAGATGGACTTACCGGAATGTGATCTTTAAAGCAGAGAATTGATTAGCACCTTCGATTAAACCTCTTCAATACCTTCGCAGGAAGGAGTTCTTCAGCTCTTGGGAGTCTCTCGGTGTTTCAAGGAAAAGAGAGAGACAATCGAATAGAGTAGAACAACCCTGATTTTAAATTGTTTCATGTTTTGTTTATTACAAAAGTACCCCAAATTTATATAATTTTTTTAAATAGACCAAAAATTTGCTCCGATATCCTTTAATTTGTAAAAAATCTCGTTTTGTATCCCGAAGTACCCAAAAACGTACCCATGGCGTACCCTTCATTATACTGATCGTATAAAATGTACCCGGTGCATTTTTAGCATACCTCGTACGCATGCAGTCGTACCGGATGCGTACCCGCATTGAGTAAGTACCCGGTACTTGTACGGCAATATTTTTTGAGTACCCGTACTTCATAGTACAACACTATCCCCTAGAAGCTTTTCAAGACCAAAGCCCAGGCTCACGCCCACAACTGACACCTATATCCAAGAACATGTACACCATAGGTCTAGACCAAATATAGAATTTGTAGAGCTTTTGGATATGCAAGGACGTGTAAAGTGCCTTTTGGCAATGGCATCTTTTTATACACAATAAGCATTCCCATAGGGGCCTCGGTTTATAAAATTGTTTACTTATCAAAAAAAGGAAATTTAAGATAAAGAATTGAAGAGTATAAGAACAACCCCAAAATTTGGTGTCTTCAATCTCAAATCACTACCTTTTGTTGCAATTTTTAGAACCCTTAAATCCTTATAATTTACAACCCATCCACCTTTCAACAACCAATGTCACCCCTTCAAAGCCTATTTTTCAGTTGCTATTTATTAGGCTTGGGTTCACTACTAGTAGGAGTAGTTAACCTCATCTTGTCCTACATTGTAGGTCATTAACTTATTTTGTCACTTCACTCTTCTCTTTCTCTGTCTTCCTACTACAAGCCTTGCAAGAAAAAATAGAAAGCGAAAAAAACTGGATGCTATGGCACAAAACATCCAAGTAATAAAACACCCAGTAACACGAAACAATAAAAATAACAGTAAAAAACGTAACAAATATTTTCTAACCTTTGGGGGGTAAAACACATTTGTTTGTTGCAACATGGGCAAGCCAGGACTCCATGACTGAGACAACTTATCTTCTGTAGGAAAACATGTCAAAAACTTGCATACCATTTTCGTTTCTTTATATTACTTATGAAGCAAAAGTAAGTTTCCATTAGAAGTCAATAAATCACCTAATTGAGTCTCTATGTACTTGGTAGGGGAATCATAGGAAATGAACCTGTAAAAAAAAAGGGTACCCCCAAATGTTAACTAGCCATTCAATGACATTGTTAGGTTTTTATTCTTGGCAATCCCGTTTGACAAAACTCCTTTCAATTGTAATTTTATTCGCTCTTGTATGTCAGTGAGAATATGAGTTTTAGATGCGAATCCAACTCGAATTGTGCATTGCAGAGAAGTTTGTGATGTTAATACTTTCAAGATTGCCACTTTGCTGATTATGACGGGGATCGAGCTGCCCAGTCAGCTCGCGGCGATCCAGAGGGCAGCGCCCTTTGGCGAGTCTGGGGCAGTGCCCCCGAAGCAAAATGCAAAATTACATTCAAAATTGCATGTCCGCCCTTGCTCGCTCGAGCGAAGGCTGCGTCCGTATAAAAACCTGAAAGGGATGATTTTACGCTCGAGCGCAGGTTGTTTGGCTCGAGCGAAGCCACTTATGAAAAACACGCGTTTTTTGTTCCTCGCTCGAGCGAGAGAGTCTTCGTTCGAGCGAGCTTCGCAGTCCCAGATTTCTATAAGTATTTGTTTTAGTCCAAAACTAGGATTATTTCTTCAGATCTTCTTTTTGGATATTAAGGTTTATATCTGGGAATATTTTGCTAGTTTTCTTTGATGTTTAATTGAGTGTTCAACTCATGGGTTAAGTAGAATGCATCAAAGGTTTGTTTGTTCATTCTATACAAAAGAGAGAGTCGTTCTTCGGTGGATTCTGAAGAATTTGAGCTTGAAGCTTTGGTGGATTCTAAAGTGACTCATCGTCAAGACAATTCCGAGGTGAAGACGGGCCTGGAAGAGGCACATAAGGGTTGGTTCAATTCGGACATGGATTCGCTAGGTAATTAAGAGTATACCTGTGTAATTCTTTTTATATCTTCTTAGTGGATTGTTTTGTGGCTGTTGCCTGTGGTTTTTTATCACAGTTGGAGGTGCTCCAATTGTGGTTTTTCCACGTTAAAATCATTGTGTCAATTTGTCTTGATTGTTTGGTTGGGATTGTTATATACTGCTTAAAATTGATCCATAATCACAAATCAACATTTAGAGAATTTCTAGATTTATCAGACATAATAGCTTACATACTTATACAGAACCCCAAAAGTTATAAGATCAATAATGTGCATATAGAGAAGAAACACAATCCAAAAAAAGACAATCAAATGTGAAGTATTAGGTTCCCAAACCGGTTTTGACTGCTAAAATCTAAGTGTCGAGCCTTCAAGTTAAAGCCATCTTCCACAAGCTTCAGAGCAATATCTTTCTCCACATGTTTTTTCCGCACCTATAAGAACCAAATGATTACTTTATGTAATAAGGTGCTGATATGCATTACTGCATGCACATGGGAATACAATTTTGTTACTTTAACAACATACAATCGCAAGCAGATACTCTTGGAAGAATGTCTGGAGAAGTTGGGATCTCCACATTGTTAGGTAGTGTTTGGATATTGGATTTGTGAAGGGATTGCAGAGAGAGAGAGAAAAAAATTGCTTCTACTTCATTAATTTTTTCTTATTGTTGTTTCCATTTCATTTTATTTTCCTACTATAAACTCATCCACAAATCCAATATCCAAACACAATCTTGGAGAACAAGATATTAGTTTTGAAATCAAGAATCGTGAATTGAAATCCTACTGGTTGCAAAACAAAAGAGGATGGAACATGTATTGATGCATACATCAAGTTGTTGCAGCTGCAGATATTCCTCAATACTATTACTAGTCCTCTCAAAAACTTCAATCAATAGCATAGCCAACATCATAACCTTTTTCTTCTTGTGAATCTGAGTAAATTTCCCATGTTTAACTTGTTCCATAAAGCTGATATCCTCGTTAATTAGATAGACAAAATGATTTTTAAGGCATTCATGGATTGTCTTACTTGCCATTTAAACTAGCACTATCTTTTCCTCGTTAATTACATAGACCCCCAAAAAAAAAAACACAGTGCCAAAATCAAGAAGAATAAGCATTATGTAAATCTTTTACCACTTTATTTTAATATAACCATCAGCCAAACCGAAAACCATTCAACCATTTTCGATTGATTTATAGTTCGCAATCGTCCAGTTCAAATCAATCGGTTTAGCGGTCGGATCGGTCGATTTCAAAAATTCGTTAGAGAGAGAGAGTTGAAGAAAAGAAATTGAAAAAAATGAAATTCAAAGCTTGCAAATATAGATCTTGAACTCAGAAGGGAGAGATTGAAGAAAAGAAATTGGGAAAAGAGAGGGAGAGAGGGCATCAATCAAGACCCACCATGCCACCGATCACCACAACCACCACTACTCACAGCCACCGCCATCACCCACACGACGTCTGTAAAGGCCATCGTTAGCTACCATGAAAAAGGGGAAAGAGGGAAAGAAAGAGATGCACATATGAGAGACAGATAATAAAAGAGGAGAGAAAACGTTTTGAAGAGAGAGACGAAAGACAAACTGTGAAGAGAGAAATACGAACACTACTCTGTCTTCTTCTTTTTTGGAATTGGAGTACAAATAAAGGAAGCTGAAAATTGTGTGGGAACTTGAGTATAGTTGTCAATCCCGATTAATCTGGAATGAGATATCCTTCTAATTTTAGAGTCCTAAATAGGACTTCAATAACTTGATAGTGGGCCAAAAAAAAATTAAATATAAAATACAAACATCACATTATTATAGGATTTACACACCATTAAGACTCTTTAGAGCTTCACAATTAGAGTTTCTAATCTTTTTTTCCCGATTAATTTTAAAAATTCTATTAAAATTTTTATCAAATGTTTTATATAGATATGAGATTCACACAATATGATTCTTAAGTAAATTCTACACTCATATAAAACATTTAATAGAATTTTTAACACTTCTAATATTTTTTTATCAATCTCATAAATAAATGTGACAAGATAACAATAGTAATTCATCTTTCTAAAATGAGAACTCTAATGATGTGGAAAAAAAATAAATAAATAAATAAAATCAAAACATCACATCAAATGAAATTCATATACACATTAAAACTATTAAAACTCCTTTTCTTGAGCTTCTAAACATTTTCCATAAAATAATATCAAAGCCATCAACATGGAGGGCTCTAATTTATATAGTCAGATCAGATTGGCTGGATTTGAATTTTCCTTATTTGTTGGCCGATCACAAAATTGAAAAATCACTTATATTATAATTGCAGTTCACTGCTAACATTTTCAAAACTAATTGTTCCTAATCAGTTCGAATCTCAAGTTCGGCGGGTTCACAATTCTTATGCACAGTTTTAAAATAAATGTGTATATATATATAACAATAATAATAAATTATTTTTTCTTTTTAGAAGGCTCGGTGTTCTAAAGCTAGCATGCAAAAGTAAAGAAATAATAAAAACTCAAAATTTAACATTTAATTATGAGTTAAATTAAGATATACTAATTTTATTATTGGGTACAATCTTTTTCCTTACAACGTATTAGCTTAATTCGCATACTGTGTTTCGGATGAAAGATAAATGCCTCCAAAAAGGTGTCGAGTGATGTTATTTTGTGTATTGTGGGGAATATGTTGACCTGAAATTTGTCTTTTTCCAACTAAAATTGTGTTTATCACGAAAATGTTCAGAGAATTAATATAAATAAGTTTTGAAAGATTTCTCAACCTCCACATAAAAGATTTGGGGAAGAGTAAACCCGAGTATTTGTTTGGAGGATTAGAGGGTAGGATAGGATTCTATATTCATTCCATGTAATATTCCAATAATGTAATCCGCACTAATAGTCCAATCAAACTATCAATCCCTTATTTATTGGATTGTTGTGTCTCATGGGAGGTGTGAGATACAAAATGGTGAGAAAACTCCTCCTTCGGATTAGATGGCAAAATGACATTTTTGAACCTCCAAATTATTGTACTTAATAAAATAAAATAAAATCTAAAAGTCTCAATTAAAAATTAAAATAAATTTATTTAATTTTTACTGATGTTCTATTTATTTAATTTTTAAAAGTTCTAGCCAAAAGATAAAATATAATTTTTAACTCATATTTAGTATTCTTATTATTTAGTAAACAATTTAAAAGGATAAAATAATCTCTTGAGCATTTATACTTCTTCATAATATCCCAAATAAGCATATGATTCAATAGAATAGTCATTCCCTAACTATGAAGCATGAATACTCCAAAAAAGGTACCGTACAAGTATCGAATATTTATCGGATACGGATATGGGTCTAATACAGCAGCATACGTATCGAACACGACAAATAAGTATCCAATTTTATTTTATTTTTGGATTTTTTTTTTAATTTCAAATACAGGAGGTATACGTGAGGGATACAGCAGGATACGCGAGGGATACGCCAAATAAGTATCCAATTTTTTTTCTAATTTTTTATTTTTTATATTTTAATACACCAAACAAGTATTTTTTTTCCAATTTTTTTTATTATTTTGTATTTATATTTTTTCAATGGTCAATACTCTCTACTCCTGTTCTTTTTTTCTTTTTCTTTTTTCACTTTTCCCTCATCTATTAGGTTGCTTTTTTTCACCTTTTTTTTTTTTAATCCCCCCCCCTACATTGTTTTAATGTAAGTATTTATTTATCAAAATTTTAATTTTAGGAACTTTAATGTTAGTAAATCTTTGTTTAATAGGAATCACTCTCTTTATTTATTAATTTGCTTTAGGTTTTATTTTCATGTATATTACATTATTAAAATTATAAATAAAATTAAAAAAAATTACGAACGTATCTCCACCTTGTATCCTACTTTTTTAGACACCATATCCCATATCTGTATCCATCCTAGTTTCCTGACATCTAATCTCATGACTAAACAAATATGAGATACACATCATTTTCAACAAAATAGTTCAGGGATTATATATTCTAAGATTAACAGTCCGATAGATTACAATCATTTTTTCAGCCCATCCAAATAAACATGGCCTAAGTTCATTCTTTTTTTATTAAACCAAAAAACCCATTTTAATTAAAAAAATACAATTTTAGGTAACGTTTGGTACAATTTTAGAATTATGATTTGATAATAGAGTTGTATTTTGAGTTTGTGAGTTTTGAAATTATGATTTGAAAAAAGAAACTTTATTTGGTTATGAGTTTTGAATTGAGTTTTGAATTTTTGATGTAACATATGAAATGAGAAAAGTTGTTTAGTTATGAGTTTTGAAAAGTGTTTTCAAAACTTAATTAAAAAACTTATAACTCATAACCAAATATATAACTCAAAACTCTATTGAAAATTTTATTCAAAACTCGTAACCAAACTCTTTTTAAAATTAAATTCAAAAAAATAATTTGTCATTTTGGTCTAAAAAATAATTAGTATATTTAAAAATTATCAAAAATAAATATATTTTTTGTTTTCAAATAAAAGGTG